CGGTAGACGTAAGAAGGCCGACACGGCAGGAGAAAAGAGCAGGTGACAGTACAATGATGAGGTGGCGAGGGAGTCGGGCGGGGGGGAGGTGCGGCGGCAGATGGAGCAGGGCGCGCCGGCGGCGGAGAAAGACACTGCCAAGAGTGGGGTAGGAAAAAAGCGACGCGAGGGAAGCGGGAAGCGGGGGAAAGAGAACAAGTGCCCGGCGGGCGGGATCCGCGAGTGCAGGGAACGCAAAGGCAGATGGGCGTTGGTAGCGAGGTCGCGGAGGGAGCGGAGGGGACAGCCGAGGGGGGCAAGACGGAACAGTCCGAGGGGAGGAGGGCCAGAGAAGCAGCAGAGGGGTAAGAAGCACGACACCGAGGAAGCAACAACACGAAAACGGGGGCGAAGTGACCCGCGCCGGAGCGGGCGCGGGAGGGAATAGAAGGGGGGGACAACAAGCAGCCAGCGCGGGCGGACGGGGAGACCGGGAGAACCAGCGAAGGGGGTGAAGGGACGAAGGCCCGGAAGGAGGGCAGGCGGGAAAACAAAGAAAGGGGGAGGGGGGCGAGAGCAGGGCGAGCGAGCGCAACAGGGGGAGGGGAAGAAAAGACGCGTGGGCAGGGAAGGGGGCGTAGAGATGTCGGGAAAAACACGAGCCAGCGCTAGCGCGCAGTAAGGAGAATGAGGGGGAGCGGGGGATGCCATGGCAGGAGGCGCAGGAGGCACAGAAAGGAGGAGCCGGAGGATGCGGGAAAGCGCAGGGACGGGCGGGGAACGGAGAGGCGGGAAGGAAGAACGAACCGGAACGGGAGGGCGGCCAAGCCGAAGGAAAGGAGGCGGAAGCGTGACAAATGGAGGAGGAGGCGATGCGAGAGAAAGGGAGCCCGAGGAGCGAAGGGAGAGGACGCGAGAAGAGAGGGCGTGAGCCACACAAGGAAGGGAGAACAGACGAAAGCGGGGGAAGAAGGAGGGCGAGCACTGAGAACGAAAGCCAAGGCGTGACCACAGCGGGTAAGAAGAGGGCCGGGAGCGGTGCAGTGACGGGCCGACGATCCCCACGAGAGAAAGAAAAAAGAAAGAAAAAGCGAGGAAAGACGAGCAAAAAAGCCAGAGGCTTGGCGACAGAGGCAGCGGCTAAAACAACGAGTGGGGAGCAGCGGGAGCAAAGAGAGAAACGGCAGAACGGTCAAGGAAGAAGCGAGCAACGGGTCGAGGGAGAAGGATAAAGGGGGCGAAGGGATAGAAGAGAGAGGAAGCACCGGAAAGAGGCAAAGGGCGAGGGGGGGGCCAAGACAAGAAGAACGGCGGACGGAGGGCAGGAGAAGAGAGGAGAAACACCGAGGCGCAGGCTGGAGAGAAAAAGGAGGAAGCAACGGAGGAAGAGAGGCGGGGCACGAAAGGCGGGAGCAGCGGGGGAGGAGCAGAGCCCAAAGAGAGGAAGGCGGGGTCGGAGGAGAGGAAGGCGGGGCAAAGAGGCGGAGGAGCAAGTGCGAGAGGAAACGAGAGAGGGACCGGGCAGAAATGGCGAACGGAAGGGGAAGCCGATGGGGGGGGAGGCGGCGGAAGGGGGGAAAAAGAGAAAACAAGAGAGGAAACGAGGGAGGCAGCCAAAGGCAGGGGAAACGGGGGAGGTGACGGCGGGGGGGTAACCCGAAAAAGGAGAGAGAGCAGGAGAGGAAGCGGAGAGAGGCAGGAGAGAGGGGAGAGGAAAACGGCGACACCAAAAGAGGGGGCGATGCCGGAGGAGGGAGAAACGGGCAAGGAGCGCGGTCGAAGGGAAGGAATGACCGGACGAGGCCGACCGGCGGGAAGAACAGGCCAGGCACAAGGAAGGGAACGTGCGCGAGACGTGGCGGGGCAGGCAAGCCGCTGAGGAGGGAACAGGCGTAGAGACGCGGACGCCCCTGGAAGTAGAGGGAAGCGCAGATGGGGGGAGCAGCACGGGGCGGGGCGAGAAAAGAGGGCCGGGGGGAGCGAGTCGGAGGAGAGGGAGAGGAGAGGGGAAGTGGAGTGGCGAGGCGGGGGGGGAAGGCAGGAGAGGGAAGGAGAGTGGTGGGCAAGTGGGGGGAGAGCGGCGGAAAAAAAAAGGGAGCAGGCACGGTGGCTGGTGGGAAAGAACGAGCACCAGAAGGGCAGGAGTAGGCGGGCCGAAGCGGGGAGTTGGCCGCGGGAGTGGGTGGAAGAAGCAAAGAGACCAGTAGAGGCAAAAGAAAAAGACGCGGGTCGGGGGAGGAAGAAATAAGAAAGAAGGAGGAGAGAGGCAAAACGTAAGAGGAAGAAAAGAAACCGGCGAATGACGGAGGAGAGACGGTGAAGGGGCGGAGACGGTGGGGCCGCGCAGGAGTGCGAAGAGGGGAGAGTTGGGGAAGAGGGGATATGGGGAAGAGCTGGGAATGAGAGCGGCGAGGGCAAAGAGGGAAACGGCGCCCCAGACGTAAGAGCGGAGAGGGATGATGAGAAGATGGCACGAAGGGCACAAAAAAGGCCGGGGGGGAGCAAGGCAAGCCCAAGCGGGCGGGGAGAAGGAAGAAACGGGCGGGATGCGCCGCACGGCGAGGGCAAGCAAGAGAGACGCAACACTGGGCCCTGGGAGGAGGCGAGATGCGAGAAGTGGCGCGAGGAAAGAGAACGAAAGAGACGCAAAGAAAAGAGAGAGGAGGGAGAAAGAAAGAAACAGAACGAAGGCGAGAAAAGCCCAAAGGGGCACGAAGACGGGGGGCGGTGGGTCGGCGGGAGGGGGTCCGGAAAGATGGAGGACTCCTAGGAGGTAGTCGGGCGCCGGCGGAACCAGAAGGCGAAAGGGGGGAGAGAGGGATGCCGGAAAAACGCGGTGCGAGGAAGGGCCAAACCGGGCCGTGCTAACAAGAGCAAAGGCCCGGAGACGACCACGGGGAGCGGGAACCGACAGGCGGAGGCGCACGAGGGCGAGAGCCAGACGAGGGAGGGGGAGGAGAGCGCGCGAAAAGGAGGGAGGGCCCAGGGCGGGCAACGCGCCAGCAGCGGCGGGGGCGGAGCGGCAGGGAGGGCCACGGGGCGCGGGGGCCAAGGAGGAAGCGGGCGAAGGGAGCCAACGCACAGGGGGCGAGGGCCCAGGGGGGGGGGCCAAGAGGGGGCCAAGAAAGAGGGAAGGGGGAGGGGGGCGGGGGGCCGAGGAAGACAAAGAACCGCGGGGGGGGGCAGAGGGGGAGAGCGGCGGGAAGAACGAGGGAAGACAACGCGAGGGGACCGCAAGGGGCGGCAGGGGGCGGGGCAGCGGGAAGGCGGGGGCGGGGGGGGGCAGGAGCAGAAAGCGGCGCGCCAAAAGGGGCGGGGGGCAAGAGGGAGAAGCGAGGGGGAAGCACCAGGGGGCGGCGGGCGACGCGGACGGGGGGCGCGCGCGGGGGCGGGGGCAGCAAGGACAGGGAGCGGGACCGAGGAACCAAGGCGAAACGCGGGAGGCGAGCCGAAAGAGGAGACCACGGCCGCAAGGGAAGGGAGCGGGAAGCGAAGAGCGGAGGGCCGCAACGGGAGCCCAGGGGGGCCGAGGGAGCAACCCCAGGGGCACCGGGAAGGGGGCAAAAGAGGCCGAAGGGCGGACGGGGCGGGCGGGGAGGAGAGCCAGGAACGGGGGCGGGGGCGGACCGAGAGGCACACCAGCAGGGAGCGAGGGCAAGGCGGGGCCGGAGAGCGGCGGTCACAGGGAGAGGACCAACGGGGGGCAGGGGCAGGGACGAAAAGAAAGGGGAGACGCGCAGAAGGGGCCAGTGGACGGGGCAGGGGCCAGAAAGGCCGAGAGGAGAGCCGAACAACGGCAGGGCAGGCCGCAAGGAGCGCGGAACCGAGCCAAGGGGAGGCGCGGAACCAGGAGGGGAGCGCACCAGAGGGAGGCCAGGCCCCCGGAGCCAGAGCGGGCGACGGACGAGGGGACACAACGGGCAGGAGGCACACAGCACAGGGGGAGGGGGGGAGGGCGGAGAGGGGGGCGGCGGCGCAGGCAGCCAGGGGAGGGGACGAGACGAGGAGCCAACGACGCGAGACAACGAGCGAGGGAGCGGGGCCGGAGACAGCGGGAGGCAAGCAGAGCACAGCGCAACGGGGCAGGGAGAGGCGAGGCGGGCACAGGGGGGGGGGGAGAGGCAGAAGGAGACCAGGAGCGCGGGAGGGCGGCCGCAAGAGAGGGGGCAGAGACCGCGAGACAAGGACAACCCGGGGGGCGCAAGGGAGTACAAAACACCCAGGCGGGAGCACCAGGGGCAACAGCGCCGGGGGCAACAGCAAGCACCAGGGGAACGGGGGGGGGGGGGGAGGGGGGAGCAGGGGGGGGCAAAGGAGCGGGGGGGCCGAGGCCAGGAGGAACCGCAGAGGGCGGGGGACAGCACAGGCAGGCAGGGACGAGGCAGGGGACGGGAGGGAGACGCGGGAAAGGGGGCGAGGGCGCGGAGGGCCCGGGGGAGACCGGAGAAAGCAAAGCGGGGGGCGGGGGCCGGGGGAGGGACCGGGAAGAGGGGGACAGGGCAAGGAGCAGCCGGGGAGCAGGCGGGGGAGGCCGAGGCGGGAGGGACAAGGCCAGGGCGGGAGGAAGAGGCCAGGGCAGGGGGTTTGAGAGTCATGTGCAGGTGGGAAAATGGCAGGCAGATGGGCGGGCGCAGCATAGAAGCGACAAGGGAGAAGAACGTCAGTATCACGGGAGCGAAACGATGCGCAGAGGTCGAAGGATACGAGTGAAGGGGGGGCGCCGCGAGTGGGGAGGGGCACAGGCAGCCCAGGGAATTGCAGGCGTAGGCGGCGCAGGAGCTGAGACGGCGGGGGGCGGAGGGGCGCAGGGGGGAGGGGCGGGGGGTGAAGGGTCATGGCGAGTGCGGGGACGGGGGGAGGGGCAAGAACGGAGGAAGCCAGTCGGGGGGCGCAGAAGAAAGTGAAAGGTTGCGCCGGCGACGCAGGCAAGAGCCGGGAGCAGGTACAAGGGCGGGCGGGAGGAGGAACCCGGACCGGTCGGGGGTGGAAGGGCCACAACAGGGCAGGCGGCGTGAGCAAGAATGAGGGCAGGAGGAGAAGGGCGATGGAGGAGTGGGAAAGCAGGAGGGCAGGAAGAGGTCAAGGGGGAGCCAGGCGGAGCGCAGGACCCCACGACGCGGCGGAGGAGGGGGGGGGAGTGGCACCGCACAGGACGGCGAGGAGGCAGGAGGAGAGGACGGAGGAAACGGCGTGGAGCAAGAATAGGGGGCGGCGCCACGGGGCAAGAGCAAGAAGTTGCGGGGGACGGCCGGAAATCGGGTTCAGGGGAGCGGGCAAGGAAAGGGGGAGGCGGGGGGACAGGACCCGTGACAGGGAAGACCGTAGGGCCGCAGGCAGGGGGAGCCGCAGGGGGGGCAACCGGCCGGGGAAGCGGGACGCGAGGGGGGGCGCGCGGCCCGGGGAAGACGCGGAGGCGGGGGTGATCAGGGGGGGGAGACAAGTCGGGGACGCACGAAGGAAGAGCGGATACGGGAGCGCGGGCGAGAGGTGCGGGGGCCAGAGCCGATAAGAGCAGGGGGGGGACACCGTACAACCGAAGGGGGAAACCGAGCGGGGCGGGGGGCAAAAAAGCCGAAGCCCGGCGAGGCAGATGGCAGGACGCGGGGCGGAAGGGCGGGCGGGGACAGGGCAGTGAGGACAGGGGGCGAGGCCGGCAGCCAGAGGGAGGACGGGCGAGTGGAAGAAGGCGGAGAAGTGACCGCACCCGCAAGGAGGAGGCCCACGGGGACATGGCAGGGGAAGCGTGGAGGCGCAAAACCCGAGGCAAGGAGGCAGGAGGGGGGACCGCCAAGGAGCAGGAACGGCCAGGCGAACGCGGCGCGGGGGATGGCAGCCACAAACGCAAAGGGAGGGCGACCGAGAGGCACACCTAGCAGGAGCGAGACAGGGAGTGGGGCGCGGGCGGGGCAGAGGAGAGAACCAAAGGCGGGGAGTGGGGCACAGGAGGAAAGAGCGGGGAGAGGCACAGAGGCCGCCGGGAGGACGACGGGCGGGGGCAGAAGGGGCGGGAGGACACAAGCAAGAAGGCGCGCAGGGAAAGGAGGCCGAGCGCGAGTCGGGAGGGGAGGACGGCCGGGGGAGCAACACATAGGGAGCGTGGACCGGAGGCGTGCAGAGCACAAAGACGGACGACGCAAGCGGCAGAGAGACCCAGCACCAAGAGAGCGCAGGAGGCAGCAGGACAGGAGGTGGCGCAGGGAGCGGGAGGGGCAGAGAGAGGACAAGCCGGGAGCAAAAGAAGATTAAGGGTAGGCAAGAAGGGAGAGCAGAAAGAAGCGAGCAGACGCAGGTGGGGCGAGGGCGCGTGGGGGGAGCCAGACCGTGGGACTAGGGCAGAAGGAGGCAGTGCGGGGGGGGACCCGGAGAAGCAAAGCGGGAGCGAACCGAGAGGGGCCGCAAGGGAGACAAGCCGCGCAGGGAAAACGGCAGAGGGGGCGAGACGGGGGGCGCAACGAGCGGGCCGGCAGGCAAGGCGGGGGAAGCAGCGGGGGGCCGGGGGGGTGAAAGGCGGGAAGGAAAACAGGAAGGCGGAGGCGAACAAGAGGCCCGCGGAGACGGGGGGGGCAGCAGGCTAGGCGGGGGGGACAGACAACGACAGGTGAGCGGAGGAAAGGGTGCGGGAGAGCACGGGGGGCAGGTAGGCCAGAGAAAAAGGAGGGGGGAGAGGGGGCCGGGGAGCCCAGGCCGAGGCGGACGGGGGAAGTGCGGCAGGGGACGCAGGGGAGGGGGCAGGGGGGGAGGGAAAGACGAGGGAGGGGGGACGGGGTGAGGGCCAGGGGAAACACAGCACAGAGGGCAGGGGGACGTGGCACAGGGAAGGAAGCGCACGTGAGGGGAGGGGCGGGGAAGAGATGTAGGGAGGAACCGCGGCACAATCAACGCAAGGGAGAGAACCCGTGGGGGGAGGAAGAGGTAGCGGGCGGGGGCAGGGTTGAGGGGCGGTATGTGGGAGCAGCGTGGCGTGGGCTACTGGAGGTATGGGCTTAAAGGGCGGCGGTGGCGAGGGAAGGGAGGGAAACGGGAGCAGGGGCGCACGAACGCACACCGGGGGCGAAGGGGAGGCGCGGGAGAGAGAAACCAGGGGCCCGGGCGAGGGGGCAAGCAAGAGGAGGGGGAGGAGCCCACGGGCGGGAGGGGAGAGAGGCACGGAGGCGGCGGCGGAAGGGCCGCGACAGCGGGGAAAGGGGGGAAGGGAAGGGGGGGGAGCCGCGAGAAGCGCAGGGCGGGCGACGGAGGGGGGAGCCACCGGGGCGAGGGCGACAGCGAGGAGGAGACGGGGAGGAGGGAGACGAGAGGAAGAGGACCGCAACCAGGAGGGCAAGGAAAAGGGGAGGCAGAGGGAGAAGAAAAGGCAAAAAGGGGAAAGGAAAGAGCAGGGGAGGCGGCGAGCCGCAAAAAAAGAAAGAAGCAAAGGGGCGGGGGGGAGGGACAAAGGGGAAGGGGAGGGAAAGGGACAAGCCCCACCGCGGAAGAGGGCACCGACACGCCGGCAGCGACGGGGGGGGGGACCGGAAGGCCGAGAGCGAACGAGCGAGACGGGGACGAGCCGGACACAGACGGCGGGAAAGGGGGCAAGCAGGCCGAGGGCAGGAGCAACAAGAGCAAGGGGGAAGGAGGCACGCGGCAGGCGAGGGGCGAGGAGCAGCGAGGCCCGGACCGGGCGGGAGAAAGGGGGGAGGCGAGGGGGACAGAGAAGGGAGGGGGCGCAGGCAACCCGGGGGAGCGAGGAGGGGGCGGGGGAGCGGCAGCGCGGGGGAGAGCAGGGGGGGAGCGCGCAAGGCGCAGAACCGGGAGGGCACGGGGGCAAAGCCGGGCGCCGCAACAGCGGGGGGGCCAAACAAGGGAGGGGGGACGCAGGGCACGAGGAAGGAAAGAACACACCGGGGGGGGGGGAAGGAAGGGCGGGGGAGGAAGAGAAGCACGACACGAAGCACGACCAAGGAGACCAAAGGGGAAAAGGAAAAAGAGGCCGAAGCCAGAGGCCGAAGAGGCAGGAGGCGGGGGGGAGGAGGAAAAAGAGGCGAAAAAAGGACCAGAGAGGAAGAGAGGAAGAGAGAGAGAGAGAGAGGACGGGAGCGGGAGCGGGGGCGGAGAGCGGGAAGCGAACCCGCAGCGGCGCCGGGGCAAAGAGAAAGGGACCAGGCGACCAGAGCCGCAAGGGGCGGGAGGGACACAGGGACAGAAGAGGACACACAGAGAGGAGAGAGACCCGGAGCCGAGGGGGGCAGGGCCGGACCAAAGACGCGCGGCAGGACGAGGCCAAGGGCGGGGGCAGGCAAGAAGGGGGACCCCCGGGAGGGGGGGGGGGCGGGAGGGGAAAGGGAGGGGAGGGGGGGAGGGAGACGGAGAGGAAGAGGAAGGGGGAAGGGGGCGCACAACCGAGAAAAAGGGGGGGGGGCGGGGGAGGGGGGACGAAGAGGGGCAAGAGAGGAGAGAAGGAAGGAGACCCACCAGAAAGACGAAGCCAAGCCAGAAGGAGGGACCGGAAAAGACAACAGGGGGGGACGGGACCAGCCCGCAGGAGAAGCAAAGACAACGGGGACACGAAGCAAGAAGAGGGAGGAAGGAGCAAGGAAGGCAAAAACAGCCAAGGGGAAAGCAAGAGGCAGGCGGGGAAGCCGCCAAGCGACCAACAAAGGAACGAGACCAGGGGAGCCCCGAGCGGCCAAAAAAAGGAAGAGGAAGAGGCAAGAGAAAAGAGAGCAGCGAGGGAGGGACGGGAGAACAAGAACAGAACGAAGCCAGGAAGGCGAGAGGACAGGACGGGGACGCCCCCGGGCGGGGCGGGGGAAAGGGAAGGGGGAGGGCAAAAAGGGGCAGGCGAGAGCAGCGAGCCAGAGACAGGAGAGAGAGAGCAACCGGGAGAGGCCGCGAGCGGGCGACAGAGAGGGGGGGGGGGGAGCCACCCCGAAGGGCCAGGGGCGAGGCGGAGGAAGAAAAGAAAAAGGAGCGGGCGGAGAGAGGGCGGAGGGGGGGAGAGCCCCGGGCGGGAAAACCGGGAGAGGGGGAACAAACGAGCGAGGGGGCGAAGCCCGCGCGCGCCGGGGGGGGGGGGGGCGCAGGGAAGAGACGGGGGCGGGAGGGGGGGGCCCGAACGGGGAGCCAAGCGCGGGGGGCGGGCGCGACGAGCCCACCGAGCCAAGCCAGAAAAAAGAGAGGGAAGAGAAAGCCAAGAAAAGGAGGGGAAACGAAAAAAAACAAGGAAGGAAGCCGAGGCGAAGAGAGAGGAGGCAGGGAGAGAGGAGGGAAGGCGAGCGAGGCCGACGGCAAGCAGGGGAGCGCGCGGCGCAGCGCAAGGAAGAGGGGGCAGGGAAAGAACAGGGGCAAAAGCACCGAGCAAGGCCGGGGGCAAAGCCGGCGGCAGCGGCACGAGCCCGGCCCGCGGGCCACAAAGGACCGACGAAGAAGAAGAAGCCGAGAACAAAAGGCGAGGGAGCGAACCAACGGCGAGGAGAGACAGAAGGGACGGCAGGAAGGGCGGGAGCGACACCCCCCACGGAAGGGAAAGACCCGAAAGGGGCAGGAGGCAGAGAGGCGGCAGAACGCCGGGCCGGCCAAGGGGGGAGGGCGGGGGGCAACCGACGCAAAGCGAACCCAGGGGCCCCCGGAGAGGCGCGAACCACGGAGCACGCAGAGCCCAAAAGCGCAGAGGGCGCCGCCAAAAAGGACGGCGCCGGGCGGGGAACGCAGGAGAGAGGGACCGAAACCAGGAGGGCCGGGAGCGGAGCCCACGGGCGCCGCCAAGACGGGGGGCGCGAACGAGAAAAGGAAAGGCGGGAGCGGGAGAAGCGGCGGGGCCAGGAGGGCCGGAAAACGCACGAGGAGAAGCGGGAGGAGGGAACCAGACAAAACAACAAGCGGGGAAACCAAAGAGGGCGAAAGCCCCGAAACGAGAAGAGAAGGAAGCGGCGCCAGACCAGACAAAGGCGCGGCGAGCCCAGGCAAAGGGCGGGGGGAAGAGAGGCCAGAGGCCACCAAGGAGACAAAGGGAACCGAACCAGACAGGGCCGCCGACGAGAGCGGCGAAAGCGGCCACACGAACAAGCCACCCGGCGCCCCCAAAAGGAGAGGGGAGGAAAGAACCAAAGAGGAGACGGGGACGCAGGGGCAAGGGGGGAAGGGGGCGGACAGCGCCCCCGCCGGGGGCCCAGGGAGCAGAGACACCGCCAAAAGAAAGGGCCGGGAACACGAGAAGAAAAGCACCGAGACCGAACAAGAGGAAGGGAAGACCGAAAAGGGGGGGCAGGGGAGGGCGAGCGGGCCAGACAGAACCAAAAAAGGGAAAAGAGGCGGCAAGCGGCGCAGGGCCCAGAAGGGCAGGAGAAAGACCGCCAAAGCCCAAGACGGCAGAGGAAAGGAAAGGAAGGACGCCGGAGACAAAGGAGGGGAAGGGGGCGAGAACGGCCCCGCCAGGCCCGACCCCCCAACCGAGAGGAGCGAGGGGGGGAAGGAAAAGGAAGCCGGGGGCAGACAGAGGCGGCGCGGGGACGAAAGGAGCCACGGCAAAGAGAGGCAGGGCGCCGGCCCAGAAGACGAGGAAGCCAGCAGGGGCGACAGGAGCCCCGAGGAGGGGACCGGAGAAAGGGAGAAGGCGGGCAGGCCCGGCCCACCAAGCGAAACCAGGGGGGCGGGGGCACGACCAGCGAAGGCGAAAGGGCCAGGAAAGAGCGGGGCCACGGGGGAGAACCGCCGCAGGGAAGAGAAGGGGGGCAGGAGGCGGAGCGGGAGCGGCCAGCCAAGCCACGAAGACCGGCGGGGAAGAGAAGAGGGGGGGGAGAAAGGGGCAAAGGCAGGAGCGGCCGCGGCCCGAAGGGCGGGAGAAACGAAGGCAGAGGCACGGAGGGCAGGGCCAGACCGACGACGCCAAGAGCACGCAGCCAGAAACCGGGGACGGGGACAAAGAACAGAAAGAAAGGGAACCAACGGGGAGGGGAAAAAGCAACCCCAAAGAGGGGGGACCAAAAGCGGGGAGCAGGAACCAGGGAAGAAGGGGCGGCAGAGGGAGGGGGGGGAAAAGCGCGGAAGGGAGGGGCACCAGCACCGGCGGCAAAGAAAGGAGGGGCGACGGGAGCACCAGGAAGAGCGCAGAGCAAGGCAGCGCCCAAGACACCGGCAACGCCCAGCAGAGGAAAGGGGGGCAAGGGCCAAGGAGGAAACCCGGGAAAAAAGAGGAGGAAGCGAAAGAGAGCGGCGACACCAAAACGAGGCGCAAAGAACCAACCAGACGGACCGAGCGGAGAAAGCAAGAAGACAGAAACAAAAACAGCAAGGGGACCAGAGAAGGCGAGGGCAGGAGAAGGCCGCAAGGGAACAGAGCGAGCAAGCGCGAAGGGACGGAACAGGAAACCGAGGAGGCCGAAAGCGCCGGGGAGAGCAACAAAAGGCCACAGACCCCCGAAGGGACACCAACGAGGAAAAGCGCCGGGGGCGGCAGGACCCCAGAGGAACAACAAAGAAGGGGCGAAACGAGGAGCAGGAGGCGAAACGGCGGCAGGGAAGAAAGGGCAACCGGCCACATGGGGGACAGGAAGGGGACAAAGGGGGGACCGGGAACCAACCGCCGACAGCGAAAGAGGCACAAGGAAAGAGCAAGAGACCGGACCAGCCGACAAAACGAAACGGGCCCGCCGGAACAGGCAGCCAGAGGAGCAAAGAAAGCAGGGGCGGCGGGGGAAAGGGACAAGGCGAGAGGCAGAGGAGCCGCCGAGGCAACGACGGCGACCAGGCCGAGCACCGCAGAACAGAGGGCGGCGACAGCAGAAGAGGCGAGCAGGGCGGGAGGAGGGAGCGGGCACCGGCCCGGCCAAGGGGGGGCGCAAGAGCAAAAGCGGGGAGGGAGGGGGCCAGAAAGGACCGAGGGAAAGCAGGAACGCGAGGGAGGAGGCCGGCAAGGGGGAGGAGGCCGGGAACCGGGAAGGGGCGGCGAGGCCAAGGCAAGCAGAGAGAGGAAGCGGGGAAAAAAAGGGGCAAGGACCAAGCGAGACCCCCCGCAAGAGCAAGACACGGAGCGGCAGACCGAGGCCCAGGCGGAGGCAGGAACGAAGGGGAGGCGGAGAGCGGGGGCGGAGAGGAAGAAAAAGGGCGAAGGGCGAGGTAGACGACAGAGAGGCAGGAGAAGGCGGAAGGGCGGGGGCAGGGCGGGAGGGGCGGCGGAGGAGAGCCCCCGAGCCGGCAGAGGAAGCGAAAACGCCACCAGAGGCGAGCGGGCGCGGAGGGAAGCAAAAGAGCGGCAAGCAAAGCGGGGGGGAGGGGGGGCGGGAGAAAAAGAGGGAAGCCCCCGGGGGCCGGGGAGGCAACAAAGAGGCAAAAAAAGCAAAAAAAAAAAAAGAGGAGACGGGAAACGAAAGGCGCAGGCGCGCAGCGAGGCGCCGGCACGCGGGCGAAAAAAGGAGCGGAGGCAGCGAGAGAGAAAGGGGGGGACAGGAAGCCACAGCGGAGAGAGAGACAGCGAAAGCGACGGACAGAGAAAGGGCGGGAGCCGGAAGCAAAGAAAGAGAGGAAAGGCGCGGGGGGGGGGACGGGGAAGAAACGGGGGAGGGGAGGAAGGAAAGCACAAGGGGCCGCGAAGGGGCGCGGAGAGAAAAGCGAGGAAGAGAGAAAAGGGGGAACAGGGCAGCGGGGAAGAGAAACAAAGGCGGGGGGGAGGCCAAAGAAAGGAAAGGGAAAAAGGAACGGGGCAAGGGCAGCGCGAGCGAAGGGGAAGAGCAGAAGAGGGGAGCGAGGCAGAAGGCAAGGGGCAGGGCCACGACGGGGCGGGGGGGAGGGCGCAACGGGACAAGGGAGGGGGGGGGAGAAGGGAAAAGAGAAGAGGGGAGGAGGCAAGAAGGGACGGGGCAGGAGGCGGGAAGGGAGAGGTGGGGAGCAAGGGAGGGAGGAAACAAAGGCGGACACGGGAGGAAACGAAAGACCGGAAGGAGGAGAAGGAGAACAGCGGAGCCGGGGGAGGAGGGGGACAAAAAAAGACGAGACGGGAGGGGGAGAAAGCCCCGGAGCGGAGGGGAACGAGGACGGACGCCGGACCAGGGCGGGACGCGACCACGGAGGGAAAAGGGCCGAGGCAAGGGAAGGCCGAGAGGGCGAGAAAAGAGCGAGAAGGGACAGCGAGAAGAGGGACAGAGAGAGGCAGGAAGGACAGGCAGGAGACACGGCGCCCAGGAGGGAAGAAGAAGAAAAGGAGGGAGCGAGGAAGGCGAGGGAAAAGGGAAGGAAGGGAGGGGGGCAAGACGGACGCGAAGGGAGGGGAGGGGAGGGAAGGGCGCCCGACCAGAAAAAAGGAACGGAGAGGGGCCAGAGACAGAAGACAGAGACCGACCAGAGGGACAGAAAGGGCAAGAGAGGAAGAGGAGAGGTGACCCGCCAACGCAACGGTGGGGAAGAAGAAAGAAAGAGAAGGGAGGGGACAAGAGGATGACGGGGGGAGGGGTAGGGAAGGGAGAGAGGAAGAGGGGGCGAAAAGGCAAGCAGGGGGCAGGGGGAGAAGAAAGGGAGGAGACCGTGACATGGGAGGAGAAAGAGCGGCGGGCGTGAACACACGCAAAGCATGCGGAACAACGAAGCAAGAAAGGAAAGCGAAAGAAAGCGAAGGGAACCCCGGAGGAGGGAAGCGAGCGGCGGGGGCGGACAAACCAAGGAAGCCCCAAACAACCCCACGCGGCCGGAGGGGGGGGAGGGGAAGAAAGGGAGAGAAAAAGAGAAAAAGAAGAGAGGCGAAGGGGAAGGAACGAGGCAGGAAGGACAAAGCAAAAAAGGCGAGACAAGGCGGAAAGGGAGAAAGAGCCGGCGGAGCGAAGGAGAAGAGGCCAGGCGAGGGACAAGGGCAAAAAAACGGGGCAGACGAGACGCAGAGGAGGAGGGCGGGGGGACAAGCAGGCCCCCAGCGGCGAGGGGGGCAGGACAGCGCGCGGTGCAAGGAGGCAGCGGGGAGGCGAAGGCCCCGGGGGGAGGGGACGAGGAAAGGAAGGGGCGCAGGGAGGACCAAGGGCAAGGGGAGGCGGCCGGGGGCGAGGCCCGAGGGGGGAAGGGGGACGGACGGGAAAGGCGGGGGCAAGAGGCCGACGCGGGGGCAAAGCCAGCGCGGCCCAAGAAGGCGCCAAGCCACCAGAAGAGGAGAGAACCCCCGGGGCCGGCAGAAAGACCGGAGACGGAGAGAAAAAGAAGCAAAAGGGCGGCGAGAGCCCGGAGGGCCCGGGGAGGGGAGGGCAAGGGGGCAGAGCACCGCCCGGGCAAGGCGGAAGCGGCGGGGGCGAGCCCCGGCAGGCCCGACGGAGCCAAGAAAGACAGCAACGCAGCGCGACCGGGGGCGAAGGGAGGAAGGGGGCGGGGGCAGAAGGGCAGGGGCAAAGCAAGGGGGGAGCCGGGGGCGGGCGGGGGGGGGCAGGGGAAGAAGGGCCCAGCGAAGAAAGAACAAAGACCCCCAAAAAAGGAGGGAAGGGGAGGAAGAGGGGGGGAGGGGGAGGAGGGCGCAGCGGAGCACACGGCGGGGGCGGCCAAAAAAAGCACAGGAAAAGGGCGAACGAAACGCCGGGCGGGGGCGGCCGGGGCGCGGGGAGGGGGGGGAGGGGGGGAACGAGGGGACGGGGGGAAGGGCGCGGGGGAGAGACGGCAGCAGAGAGGGGACAAGAAAGACGGGACGGGGGGAGAGGAGGAAGCAGAAAAAAGAAAAAAAAAAAGAGAGGAAAGGAAGGGGGGAGGGCAGGAGGAGCCAAGGCAAGGGGGGGAGGGAGAAAAGAACGGCCGAGGGAGACAGGCAAGGCGCGAGGACGAAGGGAGGGGAGAGCGCAGAGAGGGGGAGGCAGGAGAGGAGCCGAGGCAAGAGCAGCGAGAGGGAAGGCAGGGAGGGAGAAGCAAAAGAGGGAGCGCGCGAGGGGAGGAAAGCCCGAGGGAGGGCGAAGGAAAAAAAACGACAAGAGGAGGAGAAGGCAAGAGGCGGGCAGGGAGGGCGACGCCACGAGTGAGGCGAGGGCCGACCGCCGGGCGCGAGCAGGGACGGAAACAGGCAGGCAAAAGGAGGAAGGAAGCAGAAGGGAGGGGAAGGAAACGGGACGGCGGCAGGGTGGAAAAAGGGAAAAAAAAGGACAAGGCAGGGGTATCGGCGGAAGGAAAGGAACGGCGCGAAGGAGCTAAGAGAGAAGAGAGGTGAGGGAAGAGAAAGGAGAGGAGGGGGGGCGACAGACGAGCGAGGAGGGGGAGGCGAGGGAGAAACGCGAGAAAAAAAGGAAAAAGAAAGGAGAGAGAAGGAGAAAAGAAAAGAGAGAGGCGGAAAGAGAGCAAAGGACAAGAGGGAGAGGCAGAGAGAGGGGAAGAGCCAGGCCAGAGAGGGAGCGGCGAGAAGCACCGAAGGCCGGAGGGGGGGACAGCGAAACCCAGGGGGCCAAGGAAGCGGGAGGCAGCGCAAAGCAGGGGCGGACGCGGAGCGGTGCGCAGGCGAGAGGGGGGAGGAGGCTCAAGCCGAAGGGCGGGAGCAGCAATAGCAAGAAGAGCAAAGGAGCAAGAAAGGAAAAACGGACGGAGAGCGACGAGAGAAGAATAAGCACGGATGAAGCGGGGGGGGCGGTAGCTGCCGAGAAGGAGGTGGAGGAACCGGGAAGCAGGCCACGGCGCGGCGGCGAAGGCAAAAGGAAGAGGCAAGCGAGGGGAAGGCCCAGCGCGCGCGGTT